TAAACTTAGAAAGACGACTATTTAATCTAGCAATGAGAGTTTAGTAGAGATTAGACAAGCAAACTGCTATGCTTTCTTCAGAGTTTTGTTTTTGTGGCTTTCCTTTTTCCTTTTTAATTTTTTTTAAGCATGTCTCTTCATTTCTTGGGCTTCCAATATCTTAGTCTTTTGCCTACCTTCCTTTCTTGGCATGGTTTAAATGGCTGTGTTGAAGGTCAGAATGGTACTTTTTCATGCAATGAATTTTTTTTTCCCTTTAATATCCCAGTACTAGGAGGTACTTGAATTCTTTTCCTGACATCCTCTTTGACATGTCCCCAGCTTGTATGTAACTGCTAAAAATAAGCCTTATTAAGTTCTTATTATTTTCACTCCACCTGGTACTACAGTAGTTTGCATCTAAATACCACTCCTACCGTGCTGATTCAGCATCAGTCTTGTTTTCTGGCAGCATTTCGTGCCTGAACTCTTGGGTACTCGCGTTTGAATAGAACTGTATTTTGCATATTTCAAGTGGCTTATGTGTCCTCTGTAGACATTGTGTTAGAGTGCTTTGGAAGATGATGGTAAGTAAAATACCAACAAATGGGAGTGCATTATCATCATCTTTGGGTTGGCCAGCATTATAGATGTAGTAAGTGTCTTTGTTTCTGCTTCTGGAGGAAAAAAATCTATTTTTTTAATTTATTTTATTTTACTTTATTGTTTTTTAATATTCAGTGGGTTGAGAAGTGTTTTTAAATTATATTATAATTTAGAGTTAAAGAAATGCATAGGTGCTTTTGTGTGTTGTGTCAGACCTTCACCTTTTTCTTCTAAGTGACTTTGCTGATACCAATAACAATAGCACGCTTCAACAGAGTGCTTATTCTTCAACAGAGGTGGGATAGTATTTTGGCATTTTCTGACTTCATAGGTAAAAATCAGTGCCCCATTTTTTTGTGAAGACTTAAAACCAGACAGCTTACTAGGGAAACAGTGCAAGCTAGTCAAGCCTTCAGCTGCTACTTCTAATTGTGAGTCACCTGAGGTAGAGCTCTGTTGGAAATGGACTTTGCTAATGTAGACATGGGGCTTCTGCATGAGCTGTTGGGCTCTTCTGGAGTTTGAGGTTCAATGAACATATCTTAGAAAAACTAGAGGACTGAGGAATATGTCTATGCAAATGTAACTCTGCCTATTGACATCCTGGAGGACTAATAAGGAAATATTTGAAAGTACTTGGGTGAAATAATTCTATTAGTTACACTATAGAAGAGTTTGAGAGTTTCTGGAATCATCTGGTCAAAAGCTGTTAGACTCTTCATCATTAGGAATTTCTCTTTTTAACGGGATCCATAATGTTGTATTGAAATACAGATGTTCTCAGTAACTGCGATCTTTGTGTAGGCATTTCAAGTGATCAACAGTACTTGTACAAGTAGTCAGGGACATGATCAAAAGGGTCTTCGTGAATTAAAAAAATCTGAAGATACTGATTTGGGGATGTCTTATTCAAACAGAACAGTGAAGACTGCAAAGATAGATGGATTTCTCCAAAAAACTATTCATTCCTGAACTACCAGTGCTAGGAGTTTTGCCTAAGCAAAGAGTAGTTATCAGTGGGCTGGGTCTATTCAAATACAGTTTTGTGATTTCCTGAGGCGAAAAAGCATATAGAGTATTTCTTATGGATTGAATTCTAGAAATTGAGACTTCTTGCTAGGTAGGAAGCCCAAACTCACTTGCCCAGCAGGCAGTGTTAAGGTAGGTTTTTTTACGCCACTATACCTATGGGCTATTTCCCCAGTGAGTACAGTAACAATGAGTCCTAGTAACTTTTTGCTGAATAGCCCCTCATGTTTGGTCTAGTTGGAATAACTCCTATCGTTTTGAAACACTAGAGGGCTCACTGTCTGCTATTGGAGTTGCATTTTGCTTTCAATGTTATGTCCATAAACCTCCAAATGTGTAAAGCAAGGATGTTCTAAAGGTGCATTTTCTTAGGAGGAAACTTACTAAGCTTGGTGTTTATATCTAAATCTAGACTTTCTGGAAGAGTTCTAAATTAACACTTTGATTAGCCAAAAGAGAAGAGTTAGATCTCTTGCTCGATAGATTCTGGTGAGGTTTTTTTCCACAGAAATATTTCTTAAAGTTTTGGGTTTTTTTCAAATTACTGGTTTTGTCTGTCTGCTTGGCTTTTTGGATTCACGTATTATAATTTACTAAGAAACAATTAGACAAATATACCTGAGTAGTTAAGACTCAACAAAATGAGAGGACGTTTTGGAAAAAAAAACCCAAAACAGTTGTTGTTCATTAACATGCAATAATAAATATTACTAGAAGGTAGTGTCTACTGTGTGGGTTAGCTTCCTGTCTTACTATCTAGGGGTTGACTAACAATATGGTAATCGGAGTGGTTTCTGTTAAGAGCTCACACATGCATTTACAATGCAATATGATCAAAATGTCAATCAGTTGGAAAAAATAAAGGTAACTGAATATCTATGAGACAACTTGTAGCATCATGGACTTTGTGACAGTTTTGGTTGAACTGAACTGTTCCTGCCTTTCTCACTTGGTAACTCTGATACTCATGGCAATCTGACTGATCCTCAAAACAAAAATTTCACTTGGGAGAGTTTGTTTCCTGAACTGACTTGGTGTGGGCATAGATGAGCATTACGTCCCTTATGCAAGAGAAGGAGCAGGGATGTGCTAGGAGAAAAAGGAAGGGAAAAGGGAAGGACCATGGCAGTACTGGCTTGAGCAGTTTTAATTTTGTTAAAACACTGTATCTTTAGGCACTTTCATTCAGGCCATGTATTTACAAGTTTAGTTTAAAAAAAAGTGCCCTTCTGTGTGGTGTTCCCAGATTAACATTAAGCAAATTAAAAGATTCTGATGTGATTTTATGAGAAAATAAGCTTTAACAAAGCATAGCAAATGTCAGGTTCAGTGCAGGGCAGGATTTAGCCTGGTGAAATATTTGAGAATTTGTACGTTAATATCTAAAGCAGAGCTTGCAGGTCTGACACATGATGTCAGGGCAGAATAGATCTTTCTTGTATAATATGCAAAATTACTGGAAAACTTGAACTGGTAAGTTAGAAAATATGCTGTTGCCAAATGATCCGTTCCGTGTGATCTTGATCCCTGTAGCCAGGGATTGGGAATGCCCCATAGACATAAAGTCTACCACTCCGCTGCCTATTACCAGTTCTGTGTTGGGACAAAATGTCCCATCCTTGGAGAGCTCCTAAGCCATTTTTCAATGAAGTCAAGCAGAGGACAGTGCTCCTGCTGTCCACTGTATCGATGCCATCCATGGCCTGAGACCATTTCCACAGAGCCTTTTACCCACCACCTTTCAGCTGAGATCTTACAGTATGCTAACCTTCTGACTGAAAATGCTCACGTATTAAATGCAAATGCCAATTTTTGTGTTTGTAAAGCTGGGCCTGTAAGGGCTCTAGAGTAGATTAACACCCCTAAATTTTCCTGCAGGATAGATATGCATTTATGTTTCCATAAATAGCAAAGAAACGTTTATTCTCACAACTGTAGCAGTGCTTTAGAAAATCTGTTGTATTTATTATAGTCTGGCTTAATGCAGCTTTTTAATTGACATAATTTCTCTGTGATTTGAGCAAAGGAAGAAAGAAAGTGTAGGATTACCGTTATCAGCATGTCCCAAGGCTGTTGCTTTTAAATTTAGAATTATAACTGTTATTTAACAGAATTATCCTTGACAAACATGGCCTCAAGAAGAGGTCTGAAAGCGAGGGCAGAGCAGTGTTGTCAGCTGACAGCCTGAAGCAATATCTTTGAAAAGGTCTGAAATTGTCACTTTTTGTCTAGAAGATGACCTCTGGCATTCACAGCACTGCTCTGCCTTGTTGAAGAGGGGAGGAGGGACAACGCGGAGGCAAAACCTTTTCTTCTGTTACGTAAAGTCAGGCTGCTTGTGGTGGCCCTTAAAGAAGACTCTTTGTCAGCAGGCATTAAAGGTGGTGATTGGTAAAGGGAGGTGTTGGACCTGCTGGAGTGGCAGTGGTTCTTCACAAGGCCTGTGGAGCTTGGTGTGTTGTCCTTGTTGCGTGTTTGAGGAGAGACAGGTGGGCTTCTGGGTGTGCACCTGGACCACCCCCAAATAGGACAGTTTGGGCTAGGTCTGGATGATTGCAGTGGTAGAGAGTATGAGGTGTCCTTGAGTCAGCCCTCTGCCCTGGCTTCTCATGTGGATGTCCTCTGCTTTTTGCGCAGAGCTGCTGTGCTGGGTTCCCCGAGGCAGTTTCCCAAAGCAGTATTTATTTGTGGTGCATCTCTTTATGCAAAACACGTTTTTGCTAAAGTTTTTAGCAATTTGTGCAAAATAACATGTGAAAGTAGCTTCAGATGCATACAATAGCATTTATAGTAATAGAAGATGATACCATAATAATCTCAAAACCTTTTCTAGGTGTTCTACCTGCCCACTTTAGCTTCCTCCTGCTGTTATTAGCTGTACAGAGTTTGATCCAGGGAATTTTATACAAGAAAGTCACTGCCAGAGTCTGAAAACTACTCTGAGCTTAATATTGACTTTAAGAATTCCTGTTCTAGGAGAAAAATTTTCTTTAAAAATATTACTTCCCTCAGTTTAGAGGTATATGCTTAAGGGAAATAAAATCTTGTTTGAATTGATATATAACACAATAGATTCCCAGCCAAAAACTTATTTTTGAGTGTGTCTTGACCGTAAGTGTGCAGGTGACAGTAGAGGTGGATGGGACAGACATGGAATTCTTAGTAACCGTCCCACTGCCATCTGGAAAACGCTGCCATTGTTATTCTGTATTGACTATTTCATAATTCTAATGCATATGACATGAATTTAATTAAGCATTGAATTAAATGTGTTTAATATTGAGAATATTCTCAAGTCAGTATTTGCTGTTGCTTCTTGCTAAATCAACATTATAATCCTGCTTTCGTTTCCCT